GAGTGTTTGGGACCGTGGGCCCCTGTGGGAGCTGGGTGTGTCTGGTGAGAAGGGGCTGGACAGGGCCTCCTGGTACCTCAGTTTCCTCATCTGGAAAATGGACCTCAGTATCAGGTTTTGAGGCAGAGGGAAGGTAGTGAGGTGTGAACGGCCTAAATAGGGGTCAGAGGGAGCTTCTCTAAGTAGGAGAATCTGGGACCCCAGCAGGACAGGTGGCCCTGGCCCACAGAGCCACTGGTTTGTGGCCATGCCTCAGGCCGGGCATGGGAGGCAGGACTCCGGAAGGTGTGTCATCCTGTGGTGGACAGGGCCAGGCCGCCGGGAGAGCTGAACACACACAGGACCGCCATTGTCTGCAAAGGCTCCAGCAATAAGCACGTGCTGCCTTTATTAAGAAACTCTGGAGCAGTGGGGCCCAGGATGGCCATGGGGGCCCCCAGCTCGGCCCTACACATGAAGGGCTCCCAGACACCCATTCCCTGCCCTCCCGCAGTGGGAGCAGTGAGATGCATGTGAAGCCAGGGCACCGCCTCAGCCATTAGGCTGAGACCAGTGCCAGCCCTTAAGAGGCCCCTGCTCTCGAGGGACATGGAGTTCCGGCTCGGCCCTCCCAACTTGGCCATGCTCTCCAGGCTTTTTGGGCTTTTTACTGCTGAAAAGCAGGGGCGCAGGCCATGATCCCCTTCACTGTGTCTTGTAAGCCCACGGAATGGGCTGTGCCTTCAGAACAACAGCTGGATGCCCCGGGCCAGAGAGAGCAGGGCCTCTGACTGGGGCTTAGGCCAGCCCCCCCAGGAGTCTCTTGAGGAGCCTTTCCTGCCTAGTTCCTGCCCACTGGACTCTGCGTGAATCTGTGAAGCTTTCAGGCGGTTGGGAGGGAGTCCCATTTCACCAGAGGGCGGGCTTGTTTCCTCTTTCTGTCCTGGGGTGTGGGCGACATCTTCCTTCAGAGCCGTCGTCTTTTCCCTGTGGGCCCACTCCCTCCCACCGCCTTGGGAAGGGGAGATGACCCTGCGTCAGCTCTTCAGCACCACTCCTGGAGAGCTGCCTCGGCCCCTGAGGGTGGACAGGGGGCTCTGCTACAGGGGTTCTTCCACAGGCTGTAGAAGAACACAGCTACTTCCACGGCTGTGCTGTGTTGAAAGCCACAGGGGCCTGGGTCTCTCAGGCTCACAGGGCATTTGGGCACTAGGAAGTCCCCGGGAAAGCAGGCACTAGCACAGCTTGCAGGGCCTGGGGCCTTTGGGTCCTGTGCAGGGGCAGAGCAGAAGGCAGGTTGGGGACTACGACGCCTGTCTCTACCAGTGAGTGAGAAAGCCCATTGTGTTTCGAGGCCCATACAGGAAGCTGGGGGGCCAGGCACAGTGCTTCCCACCAGCATCTGCCAGTTCTCTGGACCGAAGCAGACAGCAGGGCGAGCAGCAAGAGGGTGGGGGCCTGGGTGGGGGCCCTGGGCAGTCTAGGTCGTCATGGGACCCTCGGAGCCTATGGAGCTAGCGGACTCAGAGCCAGCCTTCAGCTGCAAGTCTCCAGGGTTGCAGAGATCAAATTCCTCAGCTACTGCCAGCTGCACGCGGCCATTGAGGCCCCTCCGGCCTGGCTCCAGAAAGACTACGTGCTTGTGGACGCTGGCCTTGCGGCTGGGTGCGTCTGGCGGTGTGGTGCTGAGTACTGAGGACTGTGCGCTCAGCTCGTGGAGAGGGCTGGGTGTTCGGGGCCAGCGGCGGCAGCGGCAGGCACGGCGGCAGCAGCAGCAGGGTGGTGCGAACAGGTAGAGCAGCACGAGCACCAGGCCCACAGCGCAGCCCAGCAGTGTGGTGAAGCCTGTGTTGAAAGCCTCGGGCTCTGGGCGCGGGAAGTGCACGCTCACGTTGTACTCGTGCGTCTGGTTGTGGTGCAGGCGGGGCCCAGTGGCCAGGCACACGAAGAGTCCGGCATGCTGCTCCTGCACGTTGCCTATGGCCAAGCTGCCGTCGGCCAGCACAGCGATGCTGCCATCGCGGGATCCTGGCGCCCTGAGAAGCTCCTGCTGCGGCGAAACCCAGGCAATGCGCATGGCCGGGACGCTGGTGTTGCAGTAAAGCCTTAAGGACCGACCCACCAGCGCGTACAGGTGCTCTTCCGGCCGCTCTAGGCCAAGAGCTGGGGCCGATGAGCAGTTCTCAAAGACGCGGCTGTGCTGGAAGAAGCGCACACGGGACGCGGGTACCTTGAAGGCCAAGCATATGTACTCGCGCGCAAAATCGCGCACGGCGCTCAGGCCCCGCTGGTGCCAGCGCTGTAGCAGGTGGTAGAGGCGGCAGTCGCAGGGTAATGGGTTGTTGTGCAAGTAGAGGCCGTTCTTGAGGAAGGCCGGCAGCGCGGCCAGCTCAGGTACAGAGATGTGTCCCAGCCGGTTGGAGGAGAGGTCCAGAGTAAGCAGGTGGGTGGCGCTCAGACCGTGCAGGTGGTCGAAAGAGAACGAGGCAAGTTCGTTGCAGCCCAGGTAGAGATGGCTGAGCGCGCTCAGGCCGTGGAAGGCATGCTCGTCCAAGTGCACCAAGCGGTTATTGAACAGAAGCAGCTTCTCCAGCGCCCCCAGCCCGTCGAGGTCATGGCGGCCAAGCGCCCGCAACGCGTTAGATGATAGATCGAGCAGCCTCAGGCCGCTGGCGTTGGCGAAGACGCCGAGACCCAGCGCTTCTAGTTCGTTGTGGCCTAGATGCAGGGCGCGCAGCTGGAAGAGGGGCGCCAACCAGCCGGGGCGCAGGCGCTGGAGCGCGTTGTGGCTCAGGTCGAGGTCCGCAGTAGCGGCAGGTAACTCGGCCGGCACATCCTGCAGCCCTAGGCCAGTGCAGCTTAGCAGGTCGGCAGCGCAGATACATTTGTGGGGGCAGTTGTGGGGCGTACGGGGCGGGAAACCCTCGGAGTCCGGGGTGCCTAACCCAACGCACAGCATGCAGAGCAGTGCCCCCAGCAGCATCAGCCAGGTCATGGCGGCGACCACCAGGGACAGGACAGAGCAGCTCTGTGCAGGTCGCAGTTCCAGGACTCACCCACTTCTGCTCTAGTGCGACATGGGTGGCACCGGATGGCCCTTGCCGAGGAGGCACGGCGGGTTCTGGCCGGCCGACGGCCCCTACTGTGCGGTTCCCAGGTTGTGAGGCGGGGCTGCACTTCTCTCCGTGCTCCCTTCGGCTTCCCGAGCCCTCTCCAAGCGAGTTCCTGATCGGCTCCTAAATACTCCCCCCAGGGGCGGGGCTCGGGCTCCTATTGGCTCCCGTTTGAGGAGGCGGGGCGGCTGCATCCCCTAGTGCCCAATGGCCCCACATGACCGCCAGATGAGGAGTGAGCCCAACCCCAAAGCCCCAGTCTGCCTTTGGCTGGCAGCTCTCCGCCGCTCCTTTTTCCTCGAGGAGTAAAAGGGGGAGTCTGGAAGAATGTCTCCAAGCTGCTGTTAGTGTTTATTAGAAATGACTTATTTGAGTGATATATTATGGGGCAGATGGACTCTCTTAAGGTGGCTCCCCTGAGCCCTCTTAAAGTGGTACCCCAGGCCGGGTGCGGTGGCTCACGCCTGTAATCCCAGCACTTTTGGAAGCCGAGGCGGGTGAATCACCTGAGGTCAGGAATTCGAGACCACCCTGGCCAACCTGGTGAAACCTCGTCTGTGCTAAAAATACAACAATTAGCCGGGCGTAGTGGTGGGCGCCTGTAATACCAGCTACTCCGGGGGCTGAGGCAGGAGAATCACTTGAACCCAGGAGGTAGAAGTTGCAGTGAGCCTAGATCGCGCCATCGCACTCCAGCCTGGGCAACAGGGCCAGACTCCCTCTCAGACCCCAGGCTGTGTGGCACCTTACTAGAATACAGGACTTGGGGCTTGGGAAGCAGGGAGACGGAAAGGATGCAGGGGGGCGGTGATTATGTACAAGCCGTGGCACTCCTCATTGGCAATCCCAATAGAGACTACTTTTAGCCAGGCCCCAAGCCTTCTGACTGCCCTTGCACCATCCCCTACCTAGGAGAGAGCGAGCCACATCAGTACTCCTGGCAGATCCCTGCTTCCAGCTACGCTCAATATGCTATCTCCTGGGACAGCCAGAGCCCCCAGCACCTGGCACTGCCCTGCCAGCCCCTGATCGGAAGCGCTTCTCCCTGCAGAGCTGTGAGTGGGCTGGTGGGGGGGGTCAGGGAGATCTGGGGCTGGATCGGGTCAGGAACCTTAAGAACAGCAAAGTCCTAGGCTGGGAATATTTAAAAGGCATGACATCCTCATCTACCTCTGACTTGACACTACCTACCACTCCCCAGATGCGGATTATATCAGTGCCGATGAGCTGGCCCAAGTGGAACAGATGCTGGCACACCTGACCTCTGCATCTGCCCAGGCAGCAGCTGCCTCTCTGGTGAGTGGGACCATGGTGCACAGGTCCATGCCACTTGAATATGTGTGCACTCCTACATAGGCACAGCAGACATCCACACAGCCAGGCATCCAACTCCAGCCCACCCTTCACTCTCCTCCCTGCAGCCCACCAGTGAAGAGGACCTCTGCCCCATCTGCTATGCCCACCCCATCTCTGCTGTGTTCCAGCCCTGTGGCCACAAGTCGTGCAAGTAAGTGGTCCCCACAGCTTGGTAGTGGGGAGAGCAGTAGATACATGCAGGGCAGTCCTCATCCCCTCCCCTGTTGTAGAGCCTGCATCAACCAGCACCTGATGAACAACAAGGACTGCTTCTTCTGCAAAGCCACCATCGTGTCTGTAGAGGACTGGGCCAATACGAGTACTACCTCCTCAGCTGCCTAGGCCTCACAGCCTGTGCCATCCTGGAACCTCCACCCTGGAACCCAGAGCCAGGCTGGGCCCTATTTATGAGCTCCCTTTGCCCTTCTCCTGTATCTGCCCCCCCGCAACCGCCACCACCACCACATTCAACCTCCTTGCCTGCCTGTATCCTCATTGGTGGGAGCCCAGCCATGGCCCTAATTGTGCCTGAGCTTGACTCTCAGTCAGGGCCACAGTCAGCATTAAATTATTATTCCATACAGCCCTGGCCCTGGCCCTTCTTGAGGGAGTAGGGTTTGTGGGGTGTGCCCAGCAGGGATCCTGCCAGATGATGTCCACATGAGAAGGCAGGTGTCCAACAGCTTCAGCTTCACCCAGTGCCCCCCAGACAGATAACAAGTCCAGGGTCTTCTGATGTGTCAGGCCAGCACTCTCCCCTTGCTGATGGGAAAACCGGGGCTTGGCCAGCCCCACTGCATCCCCTTACATGATGATACGAGGCTCTGGCACTGACTCGCCAATAGACTTGTGGGGCAGCACGCTGGCTCCGTTGAGGTAGAGCTCATCGTTAACTATGACGTCCTCACCCAGCACTGTCACGTTCTCCATGCGAACCTCCAGGAGAGGATAGGCCTTGTCAGGGAGACAGGCACACTCCCCGCCCCTCTCCCCACCTGGCCCAGCCCACAGGCTTACCCACTGGCCCACACGGCAGCGCCAGCCCACAATGCAGGACTCAAGCCATGAATGGGAGCGGATCCGGGCATCCCGCAGCACCGTGCACCGCCGGATACACACACCATCTTCGACCACCACGCCAGGTCCCAGGCTCACATTGGGGCCAATGCTGCAGTTCTGGCCAATGCGGGCACTTGGGTCCTGAGAGTGGTGGGAAAAATACAAGTGGGCCACTTGTCTCCCAAGACTGAGGGGGTTAATGATGGGCTGGGCAAGGGCCTCACCACCAGCACGTTGCCCACAATGCCAGGGCCTGAGTACAACCGCTCAGGGTGCTTCTGCCTCAGTGACTGCAGGAAGAGGCACATGCCAGTGAGGAAGTCCTTGGGCTGCCCAATGTCCATCCAGAAGCCTGTAGGGAGGGATGTATCAGGGCCCTCAGCCCAGCCACAGACCACCCCCACCCTGTGGCCTCCCTGCCTCACCCTGCAACTCCATGGCATATAGCTGCCCCTCCTTGGCCATAATGGGGAAGACCTCCTTCTCAATGGACGTAGGCTGCAGCTGTGGGAGTGGGCAGCTTGTGAGCAGGGTCATGGCGGTGATGGCCTGCCCCACCACAGCCCACCGACAGCTGTCTCCTACTACACACCTGGATGCGCCGCAGCACCGCAGGGCTCAGGATGTACATGCCTGCGTTGATCTTATTGGACACAAACACCTGCGGCTTCTCCACAAACCGGTGAATTCGGCCTGTGTCAGCCTCACACACCACCACACCGTACTTGGAGGGTTCCTCCACCTTGGTTACCTGAATGCAAGGAAGGGGACCTCGGACCTAGTCCAGTGTTCCTGAGCCTTGATATACATGCCGTTCCAGATCTCAGAGACTCTGCCCCAAGTGCTTAAAGATACATACTGCACAGCTCTGTACCCATAACATCCGAAGGCAGATGAAGGCTAGGGGGCAGGGGAGGCTGGGCGTGGAGGGTGGAAGTGTCAAGAGAAACAAGACCTGGCGCCTTACCAGGATGGAGCCCTCCTGGCCATGGTGCCGGTGGAACTGCACCATGGCTTGGAAGGGGAAATCGCAGATCACATCACTGTTGAGGACGAAGAAAGGGTCTGCAGTCTCAGAGAGCAGGTCACGGGCCAGCGCCAGGGGCCCAGCTGGGGGAAAGGGACAGGTCACAACCTTGCTGGAGGTCTGAGTCCCTGGATTCAGGCTCAACAGGCCCAATGCAGGCTGGGTCTTACCCTTTTCCTGGCCTTAAACCCTCCCCAAGGGACCTTTCTCTACTGACCTGTCCCCAAAGGCTCCTCTTCATGGGACATGGAGATTCGGATTCCCAGCTGGAAGGAAGAGGACCCCCAGTCAGGTTCTACCAGGATGGGAAGTTGGGTGGGGACCGAGGATAAGGGCCAAGAGTCCGTGCCTCACCCTCTGCTCCTGTGCCTTCATTTCCTTCTCCAGCACCTGCGACATGTAGCTCACGGCCAGGATCACGTGGTCCACGCCTGCCTGTCAGAACGCAGGCCAACGGGCGGGCTCAGTCAGAAGGTACGGGAGCCCCTGACCCCCTAGTCACTGGCCATCCCTAGTCCTGCCAGATCCAAAAGCGACTCCGATCCCGACCCAGGGTCTTACCGCAGCTAGCGCCTCCACTTGGTGCAGCAAGATGGGCTTATTGCAGAAGTCCACCAGTGGCTTCGGGGTGCTCAGTGTCAGCGGCCGTAGCCGCGTCCCATAGCCCCCCACTAAGATCAGTGCCTTCATCGCGCCTGCGGACGTTGAGGGGGTGTCCCGGGCTCTGAGGTGCCTGCAGCCCGTCTAGTCGGTCCCTGCAGCGCACTCCCAACGCCGTGCCCGGCCCCGCGCCCTTCACCAACCCGTCTGACCGACTCTGGCTCCACCTCGTCCTCCCGGTCGCCCTGACGCCGGATCCAGGGCCGCCACAACCCAGAACGCGACGCCGGGTGGACGGCTGCTGGCCACGAACTCAGGGCGGACCCGGCGCGGGCAGTGACGCGAGCACCGCGGGCCAATCGGCTGCCGCGTACGTGGCACGGCCGCCGGCGACGGAGCGTTGGGTCGCAGCGCTGCGACACACGTAGCCAATGAGCGCCCGAGTACGCCGGGCTGCCATGGAGACCCGGGCCGGGACCCGCGGGTCAGCTGGCCATTGGCGGATCCAAAGGCGGAACTGGCGCCAAGGGTGAGGCCTAGTTCCCTGCTTCGCGCCGTCCAGCAGCCGCCGGCCCCGCCCCACCCCGCGGCCCGCCCCCACGGCCCGCGTCGCGGCCCAGCCCCGAGGGAGGGTGATCAGGGAAGGCTCCCGGACCACGGGATTTTCACAAAGACAGACTCGCCTCCGTTTCTAGCGGCTTTATTTTTGACATACACGACCTCAGACACAAGCGGGGCGGGCAGCGCTAGGTGTACAGAAAGGAGCGGGCTCGGACCGAGCACCCCTCACGCAAGGTCCAAAGCAAACACTACTGCGGCGGGAGCCACGGGTTAGTGTCCGGGCGCAGACCTCGGGCGGTGGGGACAGGCTTAGCTTCCAAGAAGAGGAGCAGAGAGCGATTCCCAGAACGCGGGGGCTTACAGTTCCCCGAGAAGCAAAAGAACCAGGTCCTTCCCAGGGTTGTCCATTTTTTTTCTCATTAAAATATTTTTTAAGTCAGCACAAACATAACCAAATTGTACAGCTTTAAAGTTCAAAGCAATCTGCATCTAGGGAACGTGCATGTGGTCAGGAGTGAGCGCGTGAACAGCAGCTACGGAACTAGCACAGGCGCCAGGCCCCATGATGGGAATCCCCACGCCCATTGCACAGGCCCAGAGAGGGAAGGGTGGGGGTCCCTAGCAATTTGCTACACTGGTCCCCTTCCTCTTTTAAGCACCACCCGTCCCACCCCACCCTCAGGGGCTGGTGTCAGCTTGGCCCAGGGAAGCACTATAGAGAGGGGTCACCGGAGCACCCCAACCCATGATCCCATGTTGCACTTTGGTCCCAAGTTGGGGCTAAGGCAGGGCCTGGCAGGGAGAGGGCTCTGGCATGGGGCAGGGAGAAAGCAGTGGCAGACAGTATGCACACACACTTGCCCACTACCATTAAATAACAGGGCTGGGTCTCCAGGTGTCCAAAGTGCTGAAAAGAGGGGCCCTGCTCTAGGGGAGCAGCAGCAAATCCCAGGCCTTCCCACTCTTTGTAGTGCCAGGAAAATACTGAATATAAGTGGATGAAGCCTTTGCTCGCTGTGAGGAGCAGCAGAATGTGGCAGCCTCTCCTCCCAGAATCTAGGAACCTGGGAGGCACAGGACATCCCCAAAACCCCAAAAGGTCCCAAACAGCTCCAGACCCTATGCCTTACCCTCCACCCTACCAGGGAATGACTAAGTCTACACTAATGAAGGGCTACTGCCCCCATGGCTGAAGCCACAGAATGGTACAGGAGAGAAAACCGTAATTTCTGACCAGAAACAGCCAAGCTGTCCCTCCCAGCCCCAAAGAATGGGAACCTGCCCACCAGTGGCACCAGAGCCGGGGGCTAGGAGAGATGGCATCCATCAAGGAGCCCTTAAGAAGCTGCATCTCTAAGGACCAGGAAATGAGTCCATCAGTTACCAAGGCCTCTCACAGCTGGCAGGCTTACCTTTAATGCCAAACAGGCACTTGCCTAAAGTGACAATGAACAGTGACCCTAGGCTCAAAGGAGAGGGTGCTAACCCTGGCAATGGCTGAAATCGGTGTCATGTCCTGGCCATCTGTTTTAGAAGCAGCAGGTCTGTGCCATTAAGGGCTGGCAGCCAAAATGACTAAAACCATGAGAAAAGAAGGGTCACTCCTCAAGCCCTCACTGTCCCACTGTCAGTGTTGAGGGCCATATTCTAGGCCCACAGAAAGGGTGCTGGGTCAACAGGGAAACACCACCAGTTTATTCTGCTATCAGGTCTTTATAAAAAGGCAACACCTGTGGAGGAAGGGCATGAGGCAAAAGCTCACCTCAGAAGTGGGAGTGTTCTGCTGAGGAAAGCATGAAGGAATGAGTATATACTAATGAACAAGGCTACACCCCAGAGGAAGGATCCCGAGGGACAGGGGCTGGCAGCTGGACACATGGACAAACTGATGGACCCAGGACTGATCAGACAAAGCTCTCATTAGCAGAATGTGGGCACCTGCACCCAGAGCCCACACCATGTCCCTGTGAGCAAAAAAGCTTAAAGTTCTCCCTCTAGGCCCAGGGCCAAGAGCGCCTCACAAAGAGCTGCCGCCTTGAACTTGGCCTGGGGAAATGAGACCCTGAGCGGACCACAGCCCTTGAGCCCTGGGAGGAGCAGCCCATCCAGCAGCAGCACAGCTGCCGAAACTTAAAGAAGACGACTCCCACCCATAGCACAAGAACTGCAAATACTGTCTAGGCCAGAGCCACCAGAGGCCCTGAGGCCTGCTAGGACACCGACTATCCCCCACTTCAGTGGGGTAGGAGGGAGTGGTCTTCTTAGGCAAGGGAACTTGGTGAGAGAGGCTGGCTGTTTCAGGAATAGGACAGGTGCCAACCTGTCACATGCCAACAGGTACCTGGGGAACCCAGGGCCTGCCCTCTGCCATAAGTTGGCCTCAGCCCAGCTTCATTAATCTAGCCCCACACTAAGATCAGACCCAAGGATGGGTCCAGCTTTGTGCAGTAAGCCCTGTGGTGCCCTGAGGGCACCTATTAAAGAGCTAGCTGACACCCACAGCATAAGACCAGAAAGCCCCCAAGAAATGGGCACCCAAAGCCCTCTACTTCTGGGGAACAAGGGAAGAGTGGGCATGGAGGGGCCCTGCACCAGCCCAGGGCTTTACCCTACAATCAGCAGAGCCCTGCAGCCACAGACCTCAAAGATCTAGACAAGAGAAACCAATGTCCAAGGGCACCCTGTCCCTGCTGCCAAGCCCACCAGGGGCACCTCTTCCTTCCTAAGGCAGCCTGGACACACCAATCAGAGCCACAAAGCTGAGGAGCCTGGCTGAGAGGGCGTGTGGTCTACCCTCCTTCACTTTATATATATGGATTCCAGGCTACCGCTAAAAACATTTCTTTTAGTTTACACCAAAGAGAAATATAACCCTTTAAAATCAAGTCTGTGTGTCCTCACGGCAAGTTCAGAACAATGGTCCCTGCCTGCGGGTGGAGAGGAAGGGGTTCTGGGGGCCCAGAACAGGGCCTACTGGTTCTCGTCCCGCATCTGTTCCATGATGCTGATGAGGTTCTCCAGGCCAAACACATAGCCTCTGTCTGGCCCATCATGCACGGTGGGGTCATCCCGGAAGCCCTTGAACGTGCTGTGTGCAAAGTCAATCATGCGGACATCCACCTTGGGCTGAGAGGAGGGACCCGCCTCGGGGCTGGTGTTGCTGGGGCTGGTGCTGGGGCCACAGGATGACGCCACCTCAGGGAGCACCATGTCCAGGTGCTTGAGACGCATCTCAGACCGGCGGTCCAGGCAGGACTCAGCCCGGCACTCCTTGCCATCATAGATGACAAGCAGGGAACTGGAGTAGAAGCGGTAGGAAGCCTGCCGCTCCAGCACAGCTTTCAGGCCTCGTAGTTTGCTCAGGATAGGCTCAAACAGGTCACGTCGCAGGTCCAGGCCATTGTGCAGATATTGATACAGGGCATTGCGGAAGCCTTCAATGGAGAGCCCACGGCCATAGTACTTGTTCCTGCAGAGGTAATGCCCTGTGTCCAGCTGGTACACCTGAAACCCCAGGAGACAGACAGGGTGAATGCCAGGGAAGTCTGAAGAGCTCACAGTGCCCTGGGCAAGCACTGTCTGAAAGCACTTTGACCAACCTGAGTTTTTCTGCTCACCTATCTAAGTGGAACTGGGCAGGCCACATTCACCCTGGGTTTTCCCATTGCAGAACCAAGAGAAAGCAATACCAGGCCTATGGGTTCCCTGCCACCAGCTTTGGAGCCCCCTCCTCCAACATCAGAACATCTTGTTGACAGGCAAGAGTCTTACGTGTCCCAATGTCAAGGCAGCAGGCTCTCACAGTGGTCCTGCACCTGAGGCCCATAGCAAGGTCAACAGGTAAGGACAGAAGGGCTCAGGAGGACACACTTGGCATAGATCGCACGCAGGTATGAGCACAACCCAAATCATGCAAGTGGCAGCACCTAGGCTCTGAGCAGAGGTAACTCACCTGCATGCCGCAGACCCTGACGCCCAGCGTGGCTGATGTGCTCTGCTCACATTTCCGCATCTGCCGGGCTGCCTTCTCAGCTGATGCGTCATCGCCATGCTGCCGCGTGCCCATCTTCAGGTCCAACACACAGGGGTACTTGAAGTGGTGCACCACGTTCTCAAGCAGGAGGAACTCTGGGCCACGGTCAAGAAGAATGACAACCACACTCACCATCAGCCCCAGCCAGGAAAGCACAACCCAGTTTTTCTATAAAAGGGCGCTTTTACCTAATGCAGTATGTACTTGTCTCAGAAACTCTCAAATGTGGGTTTCACACCACTGGCTTATTACTTCTTAACCAAAACAAACTGTGGTAAAATATACATAAAATTTACTTCAGCCATTTTTAAGTGTACAATTCAGTGGCATGAAGTATATTTACTCTGTTGTACAACCATCACAACCATCTATCTCTAGAGCTTTTTCTTTTTTCTTTTTTTTTTTTTTTTTGAGATGGAGTCTCACTCTGTTGCCCAGGCTAGAATGCAGTGGAGTAATCTCGGCTCACTGCAACCTCTGCATCCCAGGTTCAAGCTATTCTCCTGCCTCAGCCGCTTGAGTAGCTGAGATTACAAGTGCCCGCCACTACACCCGCTTATTTTTGTATTTTTAGTAGAGACGGTGTTTCACCATGTTGGCCAGGCTGGTCTCAAACTCCTGAACTTGTGATTCACCTGCCTCAGTCTCCCAAAGTGCTGGGATTACAGGCGTAAGCCACCACACCTAGCTAGAACTTTTTCTCTGTTTTTTTTTTTTTTTTTTTGAGACGGAGTCTCGC